ACTTTTTTCTCAAAACCAGTTACAAATACAACGTCGCGTTCTTACGTGATCTTGTATTTGTATGGATTTGAGTAATACCTTGATGGTATCGATTTATTCCTAGGCGCATGTGTGATTAAGTGTTGCCAGAATACATTTCAAAATGTGTTGCCAGAAGTTCCAACCGTAAGAATATTATAAAGGCGAATATGATAAATGCTATTGTATTATTATAACCAGAGGTGGGCACTACCACAAACAAGCGCTAGCTAAAAGTGAGAATGTGTTAGTGTACCTAATTCATTGTGCATGCTGTCGCGTTCTCATCGTTACGCTCTTGCTTGTATACGTACACACGATGATTACGCTCTTTGGGCGTGTGCTCGTTCTCTGCCCATGCCTGATAATAACCCTCACAATGTAGAATTCTCTTTCTGTGTGGGGAAGAAAATAAGCAGCAGTATTTTTGAGCAGAACTTCTTTCTGCGTAGGCGGCCTGCGGCCGCGCTTAGGGATAATAACCCTTACAAAGTAGATGTCTCTTTCTGTGTTGCGAAGAAAATGAGCAGAAGTATTTTTGAGCAGAACTTCTAACCTGCAATGTTAGCAGCAGCAAAAATAGCTCCACGGCTTGTGCAAGAAGCATCATCATCTTAAAATACAAAAACACTTTAATATAAAATATTTAAATATAATATAAACTAATAAAAATAACCTGCAATGTTTGCAGCAGCAGCAGCAGCAATTATGAGTATTATGTGTGCAGCGTAAAAATATTATAAAGGCGAATATGATAAGTGCTAATTTATTATGTGTTCAATATCAATTATGAATATTATGTACGCAGAATTCTCCTTTTTGTGTTGCGTTGTCAAGCGTATAAAACACCTTTGGACACCGTAGTAGTTTTGACACAAAACTCTTTTAGCATAGGCGGGCTTCGGCCGAGCTTAGGGATTATAACCCTTACTACGCAGAATTCTCCTTTTTCTGTTGCCTTGTCAAGTGTATAAAACACCTTCAGACATCGTAGTATTAATGACGCAGAACTCTTTCTGCGTAGGCGGCCTTTGGCCGCGCTTAGGGATTATAACCCTTGCAATGTAGAATTCGCTTTCTGTGGGGGGAAGAAAATAAGCAGAAGTATTTTTGAGCAGAACTTCTTTCTGCGTAGGCGGCCTGCGGTCGCGCTCAGGGATTATAACCCTCACAAAGTAGAATTCTCTTTCTGTGTTGCGAAGAAAATTAGTAGAAGTATTTTTGAGCAGAACTTCTCTCTGCGTAGGCGGCCTTCGGCCGCGCTTAAGGATTATAACCCTCACAATGTAGAATTCTCTTTCTGTGGGGAAGAAAATAAGCAGAAGTATTTTTGAGCAGAACTTCTTTCTGCGTAGGCGGCCTGCGGCCGCGCTTAGGGATTATAACCCTCACAAAGTAGAATTCTCTTTCTGTGTTGCGAAGGAAATGAGCAGAAGTATTTTTGAGCAGAACTTCTATCTGCGTAGGCGGCCTTTGGCCGCGCTTAAGGATTATAACCCCCAAACCGCCCCCACTAGAAAGGGAACAGTCCCCGCTTTCTAAAAAGGCGTATCCCCCGCTTGGGCTCCTCCCACAAGCCCCTAGGGAACCGTTTGAAAAGGGGGGAAAACGGAATTTTCTTAGGCAAACTGAGCAGTTTGAAGTGGATAATGACCCAACTAACAGAAACCGGGATTTTTATTAAAAGAAATTATGCCAAATTGGATATCGGGCGATTTTGAATAAAGAATAAACAAATTAATTAAAAATAGAAAAAACAAGTTTATATAAAAAAAATGTTCTCTTTAACAGATGTATTTTTGCGTAGAATTTCTTTCTGCGTAAGCGGCCTTCGGCCGCACTTAGGGATTATAACCCTCAGGCAGTAGAATTCTCCTTTCTGTGTTGCCAAAGAAGGGGGGCTGAACACCTTTTGCAGAGAACACCTTTCTGCGTAGGCGGCCTTCGGCCGCACTTAGGGATTGTAACCCTCAGGCAGTAGAATTCTCCTTTCTGTGTTGCCAAAGAAGGGAGGCTGAACACCTTTTGCAGAGAACAACTTTCTGCGTAGGCGGCCTTCGGCCGCACTTAGGCATTATAACCCTCAGGCAATAGAATTCTCCTTTCTGTTTTGCGAAGAAAAGGAGCTGAACACCTTTTGCAGAGAACACGTTTGTATATTTTTAATGTTTACAGGGTTATATCCTATCTTCTTTTGTCTCTCATTCTTTTGCATATTTTGGAGTTTGACATCTGAACTCGGCCATTTAATTTGCATATGCAAACAAAGTCAGACGCGTGATTTTGAAGGTGTTTTTATTTAATGAATTGTGATTAATTGGTTAATATTAAAGTCGTAAAGCAAGTTATAACTAATCGAGTAAAGTGTAAAGTGAAGGGGAATACAAAAATGTATTGGTGAAGTGGCTGATTTAAGGAGAATAAGAGTGATAAATGTATGCTAATTTCCGAATTTTACAAAACAGGGCATATTTCACCAATTTGTAAATAAATTAGTGACCAAAATTTACAAAAGTGAGTGTTAAAATAATGCGTAGACCCTTGACTACAAGGGAGTGGAATTTTTTTTGGATCGGGCCTCCCCTTTGGACGAAATAGCCCGAAATAGTTGTGAGCACTACTAAACCCCACCCATATAAACTAATAAAAATAACCTGCAATGTTTGCAGCAGCAGCAGCACTAACAACTCCACGGCTTGTGGAGGGAACTTCGAAATCTGTTATAAAGAACACTTCAATATACAATATATACATGAATATTTAATAAACGAAAATTACCTGCTTGAATTTTGCTCATTTTTGCAATAACTTTATCACTTGATGGAATACAATAGCGCATGGAAAAAACGCGACCGGAAAGCTTTCAATTGCGAGTTGAAAAAATAAAACGAAATAATGTATAACAAAACAGTTTTAAAATCCCGTTAATTCTTATGCAGTGGCACATCGTAAAGGGGGGTTTCCAATATAGTAAAAAAAAAAATACTCATAATAAAAGTCACTATACTAAAATTATGATGTTTATTTAAATCATACAATAAAGAATTACTATAATTTACTAAAAAATACTATACATAATACTCATAATTATTATTAAACTCATAATAAAATAGAACTTATCATATTCGCCTTTATAATATTATTACGCTTGAACTTCCGGTAACATATTTTGAAAGTATTCAGTATTCTGGCAACACTTAATCACACATGCGGCCATCTTCATTCGGTAATTGTCCATACCTCAGTATATCCAGTAAACAAACTTAGCTTTTTTTCCACCCAATTTGGTCCCCATAAAGGACTAGTGTTGCAAGCAACGCTTTTTCGGCAATTAGGGTGTTGTGCAGCAATTTAATATGGTGAAAATTATTTAAGCACTGGAGAGATTTATTCACATGAAATTGGAGACAGGTCTGATAGATTTACTTTAAATAAATTGTGAATCTGCGAAAATATCTTTTCAGCAGATGAATATGTTTTTTAACTTTTTTCCCGAAAATGTACATACAGGCTCGAAATTATGCGAGTAACATTCAAATATCGTCGCTTAGATGGAAAATTGCCGGAAGCGTCATTTTGACAATTTGTAGTTATAGATGCAGTTATATATTTTAAAGTAAGATATTTCGATTTTTTGTTAACTGGTTTTTTGGATATCTTCTTTAGTTTCCGAGTAATTGACTAAAATGTTTTCGGCTATTTGGTACAAATTGCGTTCGTATTGCTGTCGTACTAAATTAATCAAGATCTTTCAAATAGAGTTACCTGTTCTTCTTTAGTTTCCGACATATTCAGCCTTATCATGAGTTTCATTTGCTAGAACCGGGTCACTTTTTAACTTTTCGTTTGCGTGTATTCACTACAGGTGGATGAAAAAATTGTTGGCGAAATTTTGTTCGGGCGAAACTCACGATTAGGCTGATTAGTAAAAAGTATCGTTAATTTATAAAAAATTGTTATCACATTTTGGCGTATATCATTAAAACTGACTGCAAATTTTTTGACAAATGTCGTATACGACAATTTATTAAACTCATAAATGGTTGACACTAAACTAAAAAAATAAGATAATTTAAGAATTTCGTGAACTAGTACATAGCATTCTCCGACACTTTGGAGAAGATCTGTAGTCGTGTTTCTGAGAAAATGCATTCCAAACTTCAATCGTGAGTTACCGAAAGTAACTTGTGACAATCTTTTATCCAGGCGACGATATAGCATTTAGCTTAAATATGCATCTAAATAAATTATAATTGTCATTATTTCTGCAGTTGGAGTATATGCCCGACGAGTAACAGGTATATACATACAAGTATACCTAAATTAGCGCGTTGAGCTTGTATATTTATCTCTCTCTAACGCATTAATTCTATATACGTCAGCACCAACGCCCGACAAAGTTATGTCTGTATTTAATAATGGCTCTATGACAAAATATTCATGAAATGTATTCATAGATTTTTATTTACTTCATTTCATACATTGATCTGAATGTTTTTTACTAAATACCAGGAATAAATATTTAATAAAAAACTATTTCATTTAAGCTTAACCAACTTTTAGTTGCTCGGAGCTAATT